AAAGCTTTTAACTCAGTGCATAAAATTGTCACACACCCAGAAATTCCATCTCGCACCCCAAATTGGGAACTCCTGCTTTACACCAACCAGTTGGAAAGTGCCAGTAAGTAGGCCAAAGTAATGGGCAGTACTTCACTCCAAGAAGCTATAGTAATTTTTTAACCTCCTTTTACTCCTATTACCTCCTTCCCCTATAACCAGGGGCCAATTCTTCTGCCGCATATCTCAAGGGATAGGATGCAGAAGGAAGTAATAGGAGTACATGCTCACGTTCACTGTTTCTCATACACACCAATCATCCCCATAGTCCAGTGCTCAGTTAGCTCAAAGGGACGAACCCATTAATCCATCCCTTGACAGCTAGCATACCGCTAAAAAAATTTCTGGTAGCTGTTCATGGCCAAAGGTCCTCTGCCTTAAGATTTATCATTAGGATCAGTGTTCTCCAAGACAAAGAAGTAAACGAAAGTGAAAACAAAAACTAAGCAGTTCCTCAGCTCTGGCCATGATTTAACCTTCTGTTTTCTTGGTTCCACCTTCCAAAAGATGAAAGGAGTTAATATTTTGTCATCTGTTCTGCTGTTATGGTTTTGTTGTTCTGTTGTTCGAGCAGGAGAATGGTGCAGTAGTGTGTAAGATCCATTCATTTATTTATTTATTTGGTGATGGGGATGTTGCTGACTGCATTTCTCTCTCTCTCTCTCTCTCTCTCTCTCTCTCTCTCTCTCTCTCTCTCTCTCTCTCTCTTTGTATTTATCTATTTTGTAATACAGAGCTATAGACAACCTGCTGCTTTCATTGTCACGCAGCATCCTCTGCCGAACACTGTGAAAGACTTCTGGAGATTAGTCTACGACTACGGCTGTACCTCTCTTGTGATGTTAAATGAAGTTGATTTAGCGCAAGTAAGATCTTGATGCTGAAAGAGTTTATGGAAGCCTCCTTAAAAGGACTGATCTTGTCACTATTAGAGCTGGATGTTCAATAGAAAATTTTGCTCATATTCAGTCTGAAATGGTATAGATGTTCTCTATACTGTACATTGCATAGACATCCATACGTGTGTGCGCACACACACACACATACACTTATACACACACACACACATGCACACACACACATACATACATGTTCCTTTCATATTTAGATTTAGATACAGATTTATATATTAGAGATAGAGATAGATAAATAAGGAAGGAACATGTGTTCACATTAACAATCTAAAGCATTTCTAAGAATGCTTGGATACTTACAGCCAATTTAGAAGTAACGTCTTTTACATAAATGGACTTACTTTTAGGTCCTAAATCCACTAATCATAATTTTAAAATATAATGTAACTAACTAGCCAGTAGAAATGTGCATTGAATTCAGCTGAATTCCAGACTGAATATGATCCATTCAGACAGATTCAGGAGGTGATCGAATCTAGACCATGATCTATACATGAACCTTTCTGAAGTTTCATTATTCTGTGCATTAAGGGCACAGAAATCATGTCCACAGATATTGATAATTTCTCCATGAGCTTGTGAAGTAAAAAACACTACATAGAAGGGAATGGTGAGAAAGAGTAGTAGAGTGAAATCTAGATTTCACAGGCCAATGGGGGAAGGGTACCCATTACTCCTGAATGTCTGTTAAATCACACATTATTTATTTAATTTGCAGCTGTATGTGTTATTTGTATAATGCAAATACACTGTGCAAATTAGGTTAATTAGTGCAAATGACCCCATTTGCATAAATTGCCACAAATAATGTAAAATTAACTGCTTCATCGAGACTACTTTAGATACAAAAACTAGTCTGCTATTTCAGGGAGATGTCACAACAGAAATCTGGTCCACTGTATCTGAAGTCTGCCAAAGGGACATCTGTTAAATCAAGGTTTCACTGTGCTAACTTTTACTCACATGGAAAGATTTTGCTAGGACTCCTATCACAGCACTACATAGAGCAATATTGAATAGTGCATCACAGCTTTGTTCCGCAGTTTATTGCTATTTACTCATACTCTTTCCTGGGAACAGGAAAAGTCAGAGTTTCTGGTAAATATTTTGATATCTTGGTATAGCAGTTGATGCTGTCTCAGAAAGCACTGGACATTCAACTGTTCTGTCTCAACTGTTGTTTGTTCCACCACATCCATCATTCCACCTGTTTACTGCATTTTCTGTGGCTTTAGCCTCAGTTGAGCAGAAAACACTTTAAAATTTATCACACTCTACACCCTGCAGCTATTTTTCTGATATTTTATAGGTTTTTTGTCTAGGGACATGTGAATGGTATTGGTATTAGCCATTTAAAATGAATGAATGAATGAATGAATGAATGAATGAATGAATGAATGAATGAATGAAGGCAGGCAGGCAGGCAGGCAGGCAGGCAGGCAGGCAGGCAGGCAGGCAGGCAGGTGTATCACCATGCCCACTTCTCAGTACTCCCTTATGCAAAAGCCTTTACTACTATTTTTTTAACATTTTAGATTTCTAAGCTAGGGCCATCTCTATTATGTATCTTTTTCATAACAACGCCTGACCCCCAAAAGCTTTAGGAGGTACCGGTTTCTATTTTAGAAGATCCAAAGTGTAAATGCTCTTCTTGCACAAAAGTCCCTTAGTGAATCAATCTGAAATACAGCAAGGTGACAGACAAAAGAGAGAAAGCTATGATTTTGAATCTTAGGCAATTATAGAATGAGATTTCGCAAGTTCCCAAATCCAACTGGGAAATCTCCAGATTAAAACAAAGTAAGTTGGGTTGTTTTTCATGTTAGCAAATTGGCCCAAACAAAATATTATCAGTGCACACCCCTGCTGGCCAATAGTTATTTTGTTCAGTAAAATAAAACATTTCATGTAAAAGAAATTGCTAAGAAGAAGATGATGAAGTTTCATATATTGTACCTGTCGCCCTCCTCCCAGATATGAGCCAATTTAATTAAACATGGGAACTGTGAGCTCCTTCAGTAGTTGCAATTAATAAGAGAGTTTGGTAATTAAAACTACTTTACCATGCAAAAATGGAACAGTGTGAATTTTTTTCATCTTCTATCATATTTGCGTAACGATTAAGCTATCGTGATTCTGATATCTTAGTTATAAGACACTGTAATGTATGGCGATTTAGTACAATGTCCAAAGCTACTTACATAACATTTATTTAATATTACGCAGGGCTGCCCACAATATTGGCCAGAGGAAGGAATGCTGAGATATGGTCCTATTCAGGTTGAGTGCATGTCCTGCTCAATGGAGTGTGATGTAATCAACAGAATTTTCAGGATATGCAATTTAACAAGGGTAAGGCATATTTACTGAGCTATTGTAATAGACCTCTATATTCAGCAAAGCATTTAAAAAAAAAAAGCTAATTAAAGGGATCTTTAAAAAAAAAAACCTTACTATACAGCATGCTGGCTGGGGAATTGTGGGAGTTGAAGTCCACTTGTCTTAAAGTTGCCAAAGCTGAGAGACACTGCTATATAGTATTCAGATCTGAAGCAGGCAAAGTTGCTTCAGATGCAGCATGGATATCCTTGCTGGACCTGTTAGCAGCCATTTCAAGGAGCTGTGTCTTCTCTTGGTCTTGCTCCATAGCCACAAAGGAGGCTCATTTTGAGTTCAGGAGGCATTATAAGCAGCACAATCTCCTTAATTCAAATGTGTATTTTCCTGAGTGAGGGTGTCCATATCAGATCCAACTACTGCCCACCTCTAATTGAAAGCAGCTACCCCTTTCTCTAGAAATCCCCTCACCTATTGCCAGACACTTTTTCACTCTTTCCTCCAAAGATACAGGAGTTTGCAGTAAAAGAGACAGGGAGGCTGAGGACCAGATTATTTCTGCATTAAACAGCTACAAAAACTTACTATCTCCCAGCCTGATCTGCCTCACAGGATTTTTGGAAAGATGAAAAACTCCGGATATTTTGTTTTGCACCTAATGCAGCACCTAAAGTTAATCTGTGGTATCACTGGAAAATTGTAGTTCTTATAATTTTCTCTGACAAATGATGGATCCTCTCCCCCCTCCCCCCAAAAAAACCTTCTTTGGGTCAGGACTGTTTCTAGAAACTTGACTAAATAATTGCAAGCATTTATATTGGGGTCACTGTATGAGATGGGTGGTTATACAAATGTGATAATATTTTTGAAGAATGAATGCTCATATTTTTTTCTGTAGCACTAGTGCAAGCTGAGATATGAGTTAACCTAGATTGCAAAGCAACTCTTCTCCATCTTCATACTTTTGCAACTGTGCAGAGTAGAACTTTTGTCACCCTGCTTTCTGCTATTCTGCCTGATGAACTTGAAAACTGGCCTGCCATGTAACTTTTAGTTAGTCTTAATATAGCCATTCATTCTTATGTAATGTAGTGATATTGTCTGTAATGGGCATAAGATTGTTTATTTTCACCAGCCGCAGGAAGGTTATCTGATGGTTCAGCAATTTCAGTATCTGAGTTGGGCATCTCACAGGGATGTGCCGGGCTCCAAACGGTCATTCTTAAACTTAATTCTTCAAGTAGAAAAGTGGCAAGAAGAATGCGAAGAAGGGGAAGGGAGAACCATAATTCATTGTCTGTAAGTGTAATTTAACATTTTCATCCTGACTGTTTATTATCTCTGTGCTGTGGAATGGAATTTCATGAAGATGAATGTTCTAGATATGTCTCATTAAGAGAATGATAGTGTGTTCTCCTATTTCCCTAGTCAAAGAGGAATATTTCTCATTCACAAGAACAGTGTGTGCCTTTCTCATTTGATGATAGCATACATATATTGGAGACTTGAACAGGGTTATCTAAATTAATAATAAATGTAATGGAAAAGTGAGGGATATCTCAGACCACATTGTATACCTGCCACTGTTACACACGCTGCTCCCAGGTTCAGCTTATGGTCACTCATTCACACACTCACAGCCTGTTGAGGCACGTAGATCTTGTCAGCCCCCCTCGCTTTCTATCTGGGTTTTCCAGATAAGTGCGGCTGGAGCAGACAAAACACACAGCCCTGGTCAACAGCCAGGAAATAATTAGGGATACACACAAATCACTTCCAACCTAACTCTGAGGCACAAGAAGTTCTTTGTAATACACGGAGGCCCAGTGAATTTAAAGTAACAGCAAAACTTTACTGGTTGCAAGGTACATTTGCTCTTTCTCATGCACAC